AAAACGGGTTGGAGAAGGAAATGGCAAACCACTCCAATATCTTTGCCAAGAAAACCCCAAATGGGGTCATGAAGAGTCAGACATGACTGAAACAACTGAACAACAACAAAGGACTGTTATCTTCTTGGCAGGACATGGACATGATGATTTAGGATGATAAATAGGATGATAAGCATAGCTGTGCTGTAATCTATAACAAGAACTGTCCAATGAATGAACTGGTCACCATTTATTAAGTGCCAGGCACTGTGCTAGGTACTTGGCATACAAAGACAAGAATGAAACATTCCTTGCCCTTGAGTAGTTTACATTCTATAGGTGGCAAACAAGATGCACATATATAAGTAAACGTGTGCATACATATACATACATGTACACACAGTACTTGCAAGGTGCTTTATGGTAGGGGATGCTAGCTGCTGAGGCAATCAGATAAAACCTTATGTAGACTATAGCACTTGATCTGATCTCTGAGGGAAGCTAGGCATTTAAGGAGGGAGAGAGAGAACAGTTTTGGGGGGACGGTGGATGCTGGATTTACTTTGTACCCATGTAGAAGAAGATCACAGGTCCACCAAATTATTGAAGAGCAATGTGGAAGGCATTTACTAGATACTGGCAATATGAAAACAAAGCCAAAACATTTCCTGCTCTTAAGAAGTCTATATCCCTTTGGGGTTGGGAGTCCAGTATAAACACAGATAAGCATAACTCTGGGGAGTTAGGAGAGGTCACCTAAAGAGCTTGAATTAATATCTGAAGGATTTATCTGCTCAAGGTAGGGGGAGGGGTGGGGTTGTGGGGTGCTCCAACTATATGAAGGACTGAAGAAAAGACAGTCTCACTTCTTCAGCTGCTGGTTTTCCCCAAAGATTAAGAGGAGTTTAGGGCCTGGTGAATAAACTTTTACTGACTGATGTGGAAGATACAGAAGATGGTTGAGATAAAGAGTGAGCCAACTGAAAACTTTTTTTTCACTAAAAATTGTATGAATCAGACAAAAGTTGGTAAATTAAAAAAAAGTTTCAGAATCTGAGCCTTGAAATTCTGTTTTTTCACACCTATTGTTGTTCCATTATTTCAGTTGTATCAGACTCTTTGTGGCCCCATTTAGGGTTTTCTTGGCAAAGATACTTGAGTGGTTTCTTCACCTCATTTTACAGGTAAAAGAACTGAGGTAAACAGGGTGAAGTGGCTTGCCCAGGGTCACACAGCTAGTAAGTGTCTGAGGCCAAATTTGAGTTCAGGAAGATGAATTCCTAACTCCAGGCCCAGCATTCTATCCACTGAGCCACTTAGCTGCCCACAGGGGCTCTCAATTCTGTTAAAAGAAGGTTGCTGAGGTGTGCAAAATATTGGCATAATTTAAAAAGCTTGGCCAAAATAACTGATTAGAATGATTACTAGCAGCCTTTTCAGTATGTTGACCAGTAACTTTCGGTTGAATTCGACACTCATCTATGGCTTCGAATGTAATTTTCAAGGGAGAGGAAACTCCCTCCCAAGGCAGTCTTTTCCACTTTAAGACAGCTTTCCAAAGCTGTATAAATATCAGTTATTATTTTTATTATTCCCCCCATAGATACCCCAGAGCAAGGAGGCTGGGATGACAGCTGCAGCCTCCTCCAATCACTCTTGGCAAACATTACTTTTTACCTTCGAAGGATCCTTTAAAGCTGGAGGAAGGAGGGACAGTTAATTAAAACACTAAACCCAGAACTAAAGGGGGTGGGGGAGTTAAGTGTTTTTCTTTTAATAAAAACATTGTTTAGGGGGGTCGGGGTGGAGAGGGGTGTGGTGGAGAACCCAAACAGGGTAATTTCTTCAGGGCTGGGCTTCCTCACCTCCACCTAACAAGGACAAATCCCTGACTTGAAATGTTTAGAACTAGACATTAAAAGTTCCTTGTCCTTAATCTTCCTCTCAAATCATAGCCTTCTCTTCTCAATTCCACCCACAGTCCCCTCTTACTCCCAGGAATTCCTTGAGCACTAATTGTATTGGCACAAGCTGCATAATATTATATTATTAGTTCAGCACTCTTTGTTTGTCTAGACTGTGAGCTCCCTGAGGGTAAAGATTATGTCTTCTACTTCTTTGTATCGATTCAATTAGCCCAGCCAACATGTAAGCATCGATGTGTGCAAGGTACTCAGGCAAATGCTGGGCATGGTCCCATATTCCAATGGATTTGGGAGCTTATTTTCTCCAGTGATGTGGGTTCCATGTTTGTCCATCCTGTGTGACTCTAGTCTCGTCAAAGTGCTGGGAGCCTTCCTCATGTTCTATTGACATCACAAGGATACCAACAGAGGAGTCAGGGCTATCCGTCAGTTAGTTATTTATCCCTGACTCTCACTATATGACTAGATAATTAAAAAAAAATTCAATCCTGTATTGCTTTAATTCGAGAGGTAGAACTAATTGATAAAGAATTGGCCTCCATGGCAAGAAGATCTGGATTCATGACCTTCTTCAGACATATACCGGCTGTGTAACCCTGGGAAAGTCTTAATCTCTAAGACTTTAAATATAAGAATGGGTGTTGATCTGTTCTGGCCAAGAGAGTTTCCTTATCAGGAGCTCTCTATGCCATATCCGGTCTAAAAAATGAAAATGCCTTTGATGACATCAGTTCAACTCTTTCTCCTTCCAGTGTCATTTTTCATCTTGGTATGTATGCCTTTGATGACATCAGTTCAATTATTTCTCCTTCCAGTGTCATTTTTCATCTTGGTATGTATGCCCAGTTCAATGAACTGGACCCAAGGGTTCCCAGCCCCAATATATAAAACTAGGGATAAAAAGATGTTAAAAGATACTACTTGCCCTCAAGGAATTTACAATCAAAATCTCTTACAGTAGTGGTTATGGGGATGGTACCTGGCCCCCTAAAAGCCCTTGAAACTTTCCCACACAACCCAGACCCTGAACCCAGATCTCTGGAGTTTGCCTGAGGCACCTGGTCTTTCCTAGTCATCAATCCTTTTAACTGCCCTTTCACTGTGGCCCTCATTGTCTGTACCTGGCCAATCCCAGGCGACTTTCCACTCTTAGATCACATCCAGATCTTCCCACAATCTTTCTGTATAAAAGTGCCCATCTCGCCCCCCCCATTAAATTGCTCAGATTCTTAAAATCTGGCCCTCCTGTATGCATGTCATAAACAGCACAGATTTTTAAAATCCTGCCCACTTCTATAGGCGACACAATAGACCTTGTCTCTGACTGAAAGAAGGCTTGGGTGGTCAAATTCTTTTGAGGCAGACCCGTGCCCTTTGTCTTTGAATTTTGAGCTTCCCAGCACCCCTAGCCCACAACAGTGGCATCAAACTCAAGTAGAGCTCTCTTTCCTCTTGGCCGCTATGGCGGCTGCATGGGTAAGTGCCTTGGTCTTCGTACTGCTAGAAAGCTCCGAAGCACAGGAGAGACCGAAAGTGGCATGACAAACGATATAAGAAAGCTCATTTGGGCACTGCCTTGAAGGCCAACCCATTTGGAAGAGCATCTCACACAAAAGGGATTGTCTTGGAAAAAGCTGGTGTGGAAGCCAAGCAGCCCAGTTCTTACATCAGGAGGTGTGTGAGTCCAGCTGATTAAGAACAGCAAAAAAATCACTGCCTTTGTTCCCAATGATGGCTGCTTGGACTTTATTGAGGAAAATGATGAAGTTTTGGCTGCTGGATTTGGTCAAAAAGGTCATGCTGTGGGTGATATTCCTGGAGTCCGATTCAAGGTTGTAAAAGTTGCAAATGTTTCTCTTCTGGCCTTGTACAAAGGCAAGAAAGACCAGGATCATAAAAATTGTATGATGGCTTTGTCACAGTAAAAAATGTTCAGGTTAAAAAAAAAACCTCAAATAGAAATGGACTACTAAATGGGCAATTAAATCATCCATAAGGATTCCATCTATAAGGATCAGGCTGTGTATTGACTTGTAAAATTACGTTGGGCCATGCTTGACTCCTCTGTCTTACGGCATCTACTGCTTAGTACACACTGGATAAGTATAACAAAGACTTGCAGAATGAACATCTGAATACATTAGTACAGTCAGGCTGGGTCTGGCAAAAACATTTTCTGGTGGGGGAGGGGAGCTTAACCTTCTTACTTATTTAAAGTAGGCAGAGTTGACCCCAGTGGAGACAGGAACAAGCACTTATTAAGCACCTATAGGGTGCCAGGCAATGTGCCAAGCACTTTACAAATATTATCTCATTTACAAATATGATCTCATTTGAATCTCCCAAAGTCCAAAGCAGAAAAATCCCACTTGGAATAAGAAAGATTGGAGTTCAAATCCATCTCAGAGACTTACTAGCTGTGTGATCCTGAGCAAGTCATAACCTCTGTCTGCCTGAGTTTCCTCATCTGTAAAATGGGGATAATAATAGTACTTCCCTCCCAGGACTGTTGTGAAGAACAAATAATATAATATGTGTACAATGCTTTGCAAGCCTTAAAGCATTACATAAAAGCTAACTATTATCATTACTAAAGAACAGAAGAGGGGAGTAGAGAAGAAAGTTGTGTCCTGGTGTGGGGGCTTTGGACCTCTCTGGTTTGCATGGGGTTGTTTTTGTTCTGGAAGCTTCAAATGAGAAGTTTCAAAGGCAGATCATGACTTTCCCAGGACCTCTACGGTAGTGTGAGTGAGGAGGAAGAAGAAGAGGAGGATCACAGGATTGTAGATTTAGAGCTGTCAGGGACCTCCAAGGTCACCACAACCAACCCCCTCACTTGTCAGATGAGGAAACTGAGAAGGAGGAGGATGCGTACAAATTAAACAGGAGAGGAAGCTGGGGCGGTGATTTTTCTCTTCCGTGTGAACGGTGGGTCCAAGGTCCTGGGAACATGGTGTCAAAGGAAAGGTCAGGGAAGGTGAGAGCAGCCCAAGTGAAGCACAGAGGGAGGAGGGGAAGGGGAGCGAAAGAGGAAGAGCCCCCCCCTCCGCCTGTAGACCTCTACCCCCCCAGCTGGGGCGGCAGCCTCTTACTCACATCAGCCTCATTCCAGAGCCCAGGGATGCAGAAGGATTCCAGCAGGTCACTGCCACACAGCAGCAAGATGCGGAGTTCTGCGGAGAGGAAACAAGAGTTTGGAAAGGGAACAGAGAGCCCAAGAAACACAGGAATCCTTTCAACTCGGGGGCGACTTCATCTGAGGATCATTCAATCCCCTTTTCTCCCCCACCCCCAAAGGCCGGCCCCTCTGGCTAGCCCTGGAACTCTGGAGTCAAGGGAACCTTTGTAGAGATGGCCCCAGATGAGTGGAAGCACCCCAGAGTAAAATAATGATACAAACAACACAAATCCATTCAACCCTTGGTTTTCAAGGCATTCCATTTACACTTTCTCCTTTAATCCTAGGACTGGAGGATTATAGCTTTAGAGCTGGGAAGGACTGCAAAGGCCACCTAGTCTAACTTCCTCCTTTTACAGATGAGGAAACTGAGGCTTCAGGAAGGTGATATTATTTGTCCAATATCACATAGGTAGTCAGGAATCAGATCTGGGATTTTAACAAAAATCTGACTAACTCCAGAGCCAACATTCTTCAACCTCTGCAGTATGGCAGAAGTTGTTACTCTTCCCATTTTCTAGATAGAGAAAATGAGTTTGAGGGCAGTTTAATAAGTGATTTGCCCAGAGTCACACAGTTAGTGAATGTCTGGGGTCAAATTTGAACTCAGGTCTTCTTGATTCCAGGCCCAATGCTCTATCCTCTGTGCCACCTATCTGCCTCTTAAAAAATTAATTGTAAAAAAAATAAAAATTTATTTAGACTAGATTGTTTCTAAAATCCCTTGGAGACCTAAAATTCCTAGAAGCTAAAATTCCATCCTCAGAGCTCTCAACCTGCCTCGAGGTTGGAACCTGGGTTAAGAGAATTGACCTGGTGCTTAGAGGTCAAGTCTAATCCTGTATTTTGCAGATGAGGTAAATAAAGCCCAGGTAAAGTGACTTCCCCAAGGTTACATAGGTATTAAGTGGTAGAATTGAGACTAGACCTTGCGACAGACTGGGCTACCCACTGCAACATGTTAACTGCCTTGTCTGGTCCCCCATTTTGGAATTCAACTGGGAACGTCTAATGATGGAGACATCATGGAGGTTTCCGGAGATGTCTGAAGTTGCTCATTTCAAACTGTCTGAGTAAGAGGAAGCACCAGCAAAAGTCTTTCCCCTAGACAGCTGCCATGGCCTTAAGCCAAGGGAAGAGAATCCGAGTTTGACGTCTCAGGTGGGGCCCAGTTGGCTTCTTTCTACAGTCCCCATAATGCTTTTTTTGTCCCATTCAGACATGCAGGGTTAACTACCTGCAGAGCTCTTCAGGGGGTCTGATTCTAAAAGCTAAATCTGGAAGCCTCCCCAGGGAAATCACTCTCCCTGGCTTCCTCTCTACCCATGAATATTATTCTCTCTCCTGTACCAAGCCAGTGACTCACTCTCTCACCCTGGCATAATGTGAGAGATTTTAAAGGAGGACCGAAAATAAAAGTGAGAGCTTCCAGCCTCTTCTCAATGCTAAAACAGTGTTGTGTTGGCTTTTTCAGGGAAAATGAGAGCTTAGCAGAGCACCGGCTATCTGTGCACAATACCTCTTGTGGTCACTGGAGGGCAACAGTGGTTCCACCCAATAGAATAATGATTGTGAAGCCTTCCAGCTAGAGACAAAGGTGAGCAATCCTCTGGAGAGGTACAATGAAACTGGGGCCACAAATGCTAATTGAGAGAAGATTATAAACCCATGCAGTATGGAAAAAAAGGCAAATACTGGGACGGAAGCATCAACATAGTGACTTTAAGGAAGCAAGGCTCCTTTTTCTATCTTCTTACTGGACAGTCTGAAGACAGAAGGGTGAGACCGGGCAGGACCGGCGTAGAGATCTGGGTTCTAGTTCCAGCTCTACCAAGGGTCGCTATGTGACTTTGGGAAATCACTTTCCCTGTTAGGGTCATTGTTTCTTCTTTTGAAGTAAAATGAAAGGGTTGTTGGCACTAAATGATTCCTCAGGGCTCTTTTAGGTCTAAAATCCAGGGTTCTGTGTAGTGCTAGGTTGCTGTGGTTTGTCCTTCATTCTGGAAGAGGACCATGACATGAGGAAGGTGATGCCTGGACTTAAAAATGAGTTGGACTTAAGTGAGGGAGGGTTGTGCAAGGTCACCAGCTTCAGTTTCTCCTTTGGAGCCGTCTGAGTACAGTGGCAAGATATAGATCAGGACGACTGGAGATGGCCCTGCTCTATATAGTGCACTCTCTTCCTTGACACTCCTCTCCCCAAAATGCTCAGTCCTTGGACTGACAATTCCAGTTTCCCCTTTCACGAATGAATGAATGAATGAATGAGCAATTAATACACACTTTCTATGTAAGAGATAAGGGGTTAACCTTAAAGTAAGAAATACCTGGGTCTGGGTAGATAGCTTTTGTTAACTGTATTTCTCTCCTAGGCATATGTCTCCTGACTGAATCTTAACTAAAGGAGAGGGCTGAGTAGTAAATTAAAAGATGGCACGCTGCAGGAAAGCAAGGAATGATAGATTTCACTGCACAGCTTCACCACTAACACACCTTGGTCAAGTCACCTAGTTTTTCTAGTGCTGCAGCTGTCCAGCCTGGAGGGCAGTAGGACTGCTCTCTTGTGCAATCTACTTGCAAACTTGCCTTTAGTGCAAGGAAGAACAAGGCCTTCTCTGTACAGAGCTCTGAATTCTGGGGGCAAATGCTGGGAAGGGACCATTTCTTCAGTAAGGGGCTCTGATGAGCAGGAAATTGGCAAAGAGCTCTTTCTATCTTATCCTCTTGTCTTCCATCCACTCTTATACCTTCTGAGTGTCCCAAAGGACCATGGGGGGTGGGAGGCTGTGGTTAGAGAGCCAAGAATGTAAGCAGCTCATCTATTAGACACTCTGCTCCTAGAGGGCAGGTACTAGCTACTACTCTTGTGTTTGCATCCCTAGTGTCTAGCACAGTGCCTGGGATACAGATGGCACTTGACAAATGCTCGTTGATTGACTGATTGAAGAAGAGGAAAGAATGAGCAAGTGAGCCCTCATTTATTGTGTCCAACTCAGGTTGGAGAAAGAAAATATCCATTACTGCAAAAGCAGGAACCGGATTGCTTCTGAGACCTGGAATGGCCTCTTTAAAATGGATCCGATGCCTGATTCCAACCCAGCACAGAATCACAGAAAGTTCGAGCTAGAAGGGGCCTTAGAGATACAATCCAACCCTCTCATTCCACAGATGGTCAAACTGAGGCACAGGGAGTACGAAGTGTTTTGTCCAAGGCCACAAAGCATGCTTCCTCTCCAATGTGAACCTGTTTTACAAAAGCAAATGGTGCTTGGGGTTGGGGATAGGGAGTAGGAGGTGGGGCTCTGATCACTACTAGAAGAGACTGTTTATATGTGTGTATGAGGGGAGCAGGGGGCATTTGGTGCATCCTTTCAGTTGAAAAGTGAGGACGTGGGATGGCTTTTCAGTTCCCATGTATTTAACAGACAAATTTATCCAAAGGTGGGAGGATAGTTCCAGGTCCCCCATCATCCTCACTTCAAATATTGCTTACTCTTGATGTAGCATGTGGAGGATATGTTTTCCTAGGCTCATTTGCATGCTTTCCAAAGACCCTGGAGGTAGGAAAGTTCATTTTGTACTCACACTGAAACCTGACTTATACCTGTTCTTATACCTGAGGGAGAGACACTGAAGTGAAAATTGTCTATTAATATGGGTACTTCAATGGGCAGCTAGGTGGCACAGTGGATAGAGCACCGGCCCTGAAGTCAGGAGGACCTGAGTTCAAATCCGGCCTCAGACCAAACAATTGACACTTATTAGCTGTGTGACCCTGGGCAAGTCACTTAACCCCAATTGCCTAAAAAAAAAAAAATGAGGACTTCAGCACATCTTGGAATCTGGTCTAACTCCAGGACTCTGGGGTGTGTTTGGGCAGATAACTTGGGAATGTGACCTTGGGAAAGAAAGGTGTCCATTGGCTCTGGAGAAAAAAATGACTTTTCTGAATTTGTTGTTGCTGCAAACACAGCTCTGCCCCATCTCCCTCTGTGTTTTTGTTGTTCAGTGATGTCCAACTCATTGTGACCCCATCAACCATAGCACACCAAGTCTATGGGGCTTTCTTGGCAAAGATACTGAAATGGTTTGCTATCTCCTTCTCCAGTGGCTTAAGGCAAACAGGGTTAAGTGACTTGTCCAGGGTCGCACAGCTAGTAAGTGTCTGAGGCCAAATTTGAACTCAGGTTTCCCTGACTCCAGATCCAGCACTCTATCCATCGAGCCATCTAGCTGCCTCAAAATCAAAACCAAAATCAAAACTAAAAAGGAAACGGGAGATGTGCGCCGTGCTGGAATTCACTCCCTTCCCATCTCTACCTGCTGGCTTCCCCCGCTTCCTTTAAGTCCCAGATAAAACCCCACCTTTCGTAGGAAGCCTCTCCCAGCCCCTCTCAATCTTAGCACCTTCCCTCTTTTGATCATTTCCACTTTATCTGTACCATAGCTTGGGTGCATGTTATCTCCCTCGTCAGATTATGATTAAGGACGATCTTTTACCTTTCTTTGTATCCTCAGCACTGAGCACAGTGCCTGGCACATAGTAGGCTCTTACTAAATGTTCAGTGACAGACTCACTGGCTGAAGAAACAACTGACTTCTGGGATTAAATGTTGGCCATTGGGCGTCCCCACTCAGCCCTATGTTTGAGCTGGTTCTAGGTTCAACCTCCCGAAACCCTCCTTCCTTCCCCATCTTACTCACCGATCTCTTCATACCGCATCACTGTGCCAAGGTTGGCATTCTCATCTGGGGAAAGAAAGGAGAACAGAAGGAAGCTCCAGGGAGTGGCTCATCTTCAGGTCTGTCTGTGGCACCTGATATGCCTGTCTGAATAATCATAGGGGGCTTCGGAGAGACTCTGACTTTAGAGACTGATCAAGGCTTAGAATAACTGAGTACCTCAGACCTAGCACATTCCAAACTACTGAACCTGATGCCAGGCAAACAGAGAATTTTTAGATGACATCTCAAAAGGGTTTCTTTTCCCTTTCCCCCACCTACCTACAGGAGTAACGCCCATGGCATGGAGGGGACAACCCACAAAGAGTAATAAGGAGGCATCATTTTCTTCTTAGGATAGCTAAAGAGATGGTAGGCAGATGACAGCTCTGGGGGTATTCGGGCTAAGGCTTGCCTTTCCACCTGCTTCTGGCAGGAGACCATAAGGACACTTAGAAAGCCTTAGACATCCCTTTGTCTTCCTCAGGTAAATTCACCCTTGTACACACACACACACACACACACACACACACACACACACCTTGTCACCTGCCATCGTCCTTAACTATCGAATTCTATTTAACCCCAACCCAAGAGGTCTAAGGTTGGAAATCTGAGAAAGAATAGAGAATGCTCCCAAAAAGCCAAAGGCATTAGTGCCCCAAGAGGGAAAATTTGATTTATTCTGTCCACTGTGAGACTTGCTCTGCCCACTGAGTTAAATGTTGGGTTCCCAGAAAACAAGACTCACACCTGTCTTGGCTCTCTCCACCTGTTCTCAGTCCTTGGTTAACCAAAGTTCTCCCAGTAAGCCCATAGTCTAGTAACTAGACTGTAGAATTAGACCCTAGTTCTATTGGTTCTGTAAGGGGAAAGCAAGCCCTTTTCTTTCAGCCCAACAGTGGCAACATTTGATCTTAGATGGCTGTCTCAGCATCAAAAACTGCAATACTGTCTTGGTATCAAGAGTTTTGAGAGGCAGAATTCCTGTGCCTTTATGGGGAGGCTTTCAGATGCATGTAGGATCTATGGAGAGAAAACAGGTGGCCTTCAAATGATGGGGACTAGAAGGAGAGAAAAGGAACAGCATGGGAGGAGAGGAAAAGACCATCGGGGGAAAAGGACAACACAGAAAAGGAGGTGGGAAGAAAAGGTTCTTTGCCACTTACCCACAAAAGTGAAACGCTCCACTGGTGGACGGACACAACAAATTCGGCTCAGGCTTTCTCCTACCTTCCCCAAGATCTTTGCTGTGGAAGAAAGAAAGATAGAGACTTACTCAATGGAAACATCTAAGATTGGATTACGGGAGAAAGAAAGAGAGAGAAAAGAGAAATATGACAAGTTCCCTTCCTTCCACTCCATTAGCACAGTGGATAAAGCACTGGACCTAGAGTCAGGAAGATCTGAATTTAAATCAGATCTCACACACTTACTAGCTGTATGACCCTGGGTAAATCGCTTTACTCTGTTTGCCTCAGTCTCCTCGTCTATAAAATAAGATAATTATATCACCCTGTCTCACAGACCTATTGTTAGGATCAAATGAGATATTTGTAAAGAGCATAGTAGGTGCCATATAAATGCTTATTCTCTTCCCAGATACAGGGATGTGGAACTCAGAAGCACAGTTGTACGCATTATTTCTCAAGCATTGCACACCATCTAATACAGTGGTATCTAACTCACCTTATGGCTAAGGACATGTTCATCTCATCTTCTGCCAAGCCCTAAATACTCCTTCCACAAAAACTTTATCAACCAAGGTGACCGTACACCCTGGTTTGATTGAAACACTCCTATATAAATCCAATATAAATCTTGACAACTTGTATTGGATTTACAAGTATACTTTTAGAACGTTCCTGACCCCAGGTAAGGATAGGCAGCTTGGCTTAGTAGACAAAACAGTGGCTTAGGAGTCAGGAAAATTGGTTCCACTCCAAGTTCTCCCACTAAATAATTACTAGAGTGACCTTGGTCAATTATTCACCTCTCTGGCTCTCAAGTTTCCTTGAGTAAATGAAGAGATTGAACAAGATATATTCTTCATGACTGTGAAGGTTCTAGGATTGTCTAATCAAGGACAAACTAGATCATAGTTATACTTATAAATGACCGTATCTAAACTAAGCTATCAATAATATATTTCATAAGGTAATTTGTTGGTTTTTTGGGTTTGATATCCAAAAGCCTTGAATCCATTTCAGGGAGCTATCCTGCAAAAGTCACCCTCCAAGCCCTGGGGATTCCAGAGACAACAACAGGTCCATCCTTCTCTCTTCTCCTCCCCAACCAGGACTGAGATTTCCAAGAGCCTCTTCCTCAAAAGCAGAATTTGGGGCCTCTGGCTTGGAGCGATGCATAAAGGAGAGGGCCTGAGTCTTCCTATCTTCTACCCCATCACCCTGGTATTTATTCAGTATTAGCTGGTTGAAAATATGGTCACCAGGGGGCAGCTAGGTGGCAAAGTAGATAGAGCTATGGCCTTGGAGTCAGGAAGACCTAAGTTCAAATCCGACCTCAGATATTAGTTGTGTGACCCTGGGCAAGTCACTTAACCCTGATTGCCTCACCAAAAAAAAAAAAGAAAAGAAAAGAAAAGAAAGAAAAGGAAAGAAAAGAAAAGAAAAGAAAGAAAAGAAAAAAAAAAGAAAAGAAAAAAAAAAAAGAAAAGAAAAGAAAAGAAAAGAAAAGAAAAGAAAAGAAAAGAAAAGAAAAGAAAAGAAAAGAAAAGAAAAGAAAAGAAAATATGGTCACCATATCCTGGAGACTCTAGAGAAGGTCCAGTAGGCAAATGCTTTCTTTCACTGTGAATCAGTAAACTCTGAACAAGACTTGAAACCCCCATCAGAAAACTCAAGGGACGGTCCACATAATCCCAAATAAATGCTCATGTTTACCCACCCCCACACAAATCTTTCCCAACCACTTTTTGATTAAAACATACTCTTAAACAAATGAGACTCTCTTTCACAGGGTCTTTAAATGAAGTTCCCATAAGTGAAGAAAACCGTGGTCAGGATTCATGTTTTGGACAAGGATTGAGTTAGATAGTCTTCCACCTCTTTATTCTATGAGTCTCCAATTCTGAGATTCACCAGCATGGTAATCACTGTCAACAGTGTGAAGCAAGGGGAACATGGTTGGAGAGACCTAGAGAAACCTTTTTATTTTAAAGATATCTAAGCTCACAGTATCTAGTTACCAGAAGAGAATCCGCTCTAATATCTAACTTATAGAAATACCTGCAAATGATGATTTGAATGATCCAGCACCAACAGTGTTGGTGCTCCGAAGAGAAATCATTCCCTCTTCTATTCCAGATGCAGATAAGCTTTTCCGCTTTTCCTCCATTCTCTGTCCTTTCCAAATTTGAGATCATTTTCTTGGTGTACTTTTTAATTTCAACATTCTTTCAAGGCCTCCCCCTCTGAGACAGGACATACCTGCAGTGGGCTTAGTGGGCACGTTGTTGTTCTGATAAATGGGCTGGGATGTTTCATGTTGTGGCTGTCCAATCACTGGGGTCATGGAAGGTGTGTTGACATTGGAAAGGATGCAGCCGGTCACTCTCTAGAAAACAGGAAAAAAAACCTCAGAGTCAAAAACATCACTAAAGAATTTGTTAATGAAAGAGAAGGCATGGTACAGTGGAAGTGAGAGCACTAGCTATGGATTCAGAGAACCTGAGTTCAAATTTCACTGATATCACTTACTACCTATGCAGTCTTAGATAAGTCACAATCTACTTGGGCCTCAATGTCTTATCTGTAAAATCTGGGGGTTGGAATAAATAGCTTTTAAGGTCCCTTTCAGCTTTAAATCTATGATCTTATAATCTATGAAGGAAACTTCTCATTTATCCATGATATGTATGTATATATATTTATGTGTGGATACATACATATGCATATGCATATGTATATATATTTATGTGTGGATACATACATATGCATATGCATACATACATACATACATATATATGTTTTGTGAACCAGCTGTGACCCCTCTCCCCCAAGCCAGTTTCCAAACTACTACAACTAATGTTTCATCTTTATATAGTGCTTTACAACCATTTAACAAGCATGTATTAAGTACTAAGGGCTGGGTACTACGCTATGGCTTGGGGACAAAAAGAAAAAGCAAAAACATTCCCTGCCCTCAAGGAGCTTACATTCTAAATGGGAGACAACACATGCATAAATTGGTATGTTTAACATATAGGCCAAGTAGATACTAGGCAACCTTAGAAGGAATGTCGCTAACAACTGGGTGGACCAAGGAAGGCTTCCTGAAGAAGGTGACATTTGAACTGAGTGTTGAAGGACAACCAGGTGGAGGTTGGACAACCTCTAAGAGGTGGAGGTGGGGGAAGAAGGCATTCCAAGTATGGTGAAGAAATAGGACAAAGGGATTGAAATGCTTGATGAGACAGTTTATAAGGATCATAAAGTGCTTTTTTAAAAAAGATAACACCATAACATAGGTAGTACATGAATTATTATATTTTATAGATGTGGTAACCAGGCTTCAAAGAAATGAAAGGATTTGCCTGAGGTTGCCAACCTAGTAAATGATAAAACTTGAACCCAGGACCTCTCATTAAAAGTCTAGTGCTGCTTTTATTACACTGTATTGCCTCTCAAGTCAGATAGGAGTTAGAACCTGGCGCAGAGGATGGCAATAATTTGCCCGAGCACACTCATGGATGTATGTGGGTGTGTATTCCAAAGCCAAATGCAAATAATTTTTACATTATTGACTGTTTTATATTATGGCATCTGGGTGGCATAGTGAATAGAGTGCTAGGGCTGAAGTCAGGAAGACTCAAGTTCAAACCTGACCTCAGACACTTATTAGCTGTGATATCTAGGGCAAGTCACTAATCTCTGTTTGCCTCAGTTTCCTCATCTGAAAGTGGAGATAATAATAACACCTACCTCCCATGGTTGTTGTGAGGATCAAATGAGATAATAATTGTAAAGTGTGTAGTGCAATGCTTAGCACATAGCAGGCTCTACAGAAATGCCAGCTATACTACTACTACTACTAATAATTTATTATGTATAAGTTCATATTATATTATAATTTTTATTATAATAACCTTTATTATATTTATAATTACATGTTAATTATATAGTAACAATTACTATTATCTGTGCTGTTTCTCAATTTCAGTAAATATTTATTAAACATCAACTAGGTACAAGGCACTATGGATATAAAAGCAAAAAATGGAGAGACCCCATTGTCAAAGAGCTTCCATTTAGTTGAGAGGGTGCAACATGCACATAGATAAATAAAATAGAAAGTAATTTGAAGAGGGACAGAGAGCAGTAGCTCTCTCTAGGGATATGAGGGGAAGACTTCATGAGTCGATGGCTCCTGAAGTAAGCTTTGAAGGCCTCTGAGAGGCAGAGTTGAAGAGGAAGTGTGTTCTAGGCACAAGGACGAATTGGGGTGGTGAGGCAGAAGAATGTCAAGTTCAAGGATTAGTTAGTGATTCCATTTGGCTGAAACTTGTCCTTCTCCAAGAGGACCAATGACTTCAGGAAGATGATGTCTTGACTTGCAAGTGAATTGGATTTAAGTGAGGCAGGGCTGTGCAGAGTCACCAACCTCACTCTCTCCTCTGGAGCCATCTGGGTCCAGTCAGGATGACTGTATGTGCCACTGGAGGCAGTGGGCAACCTTGCTCTTTTTAAGTTAAAATCTTTCCTAGGTCTCGCTTTGTCTGAGGCAATGCCCATTCAGTGATTAAAGTCCTTTTTTACCTAGTTAAAAAAAAACTAACCTGGGAAGGGAAGACCCTCAGGGTTTCTGGCTAAAACAGAAACAATTGTTATTTACACTCACTCAGAGCCTTCTGGGCCCAAACAATATCCCCGGTGAGGCTTGGACTGGGATCTATTGCTGACCATTCAGTGAGATCCAGAGTGATGAGGATTTAAGGCAGGGTCAAACAGCTCCAATTGAATCCCAATGGGCTTTATCAAAGCCTGGGATTCCAACGCTGTATTTCAAGAAATCATAAATGAAACTATGTGGAGAAAAAGAGTGAATTATCCCAGTTTTTTTAATGATAGAATAAATAAGTATGGAAGAGAAAAAAAGAAATCCAGCCCATAAACCGTAAGATATCTTGTGAGGGGCTGAAACTTGGTGTGTGTCACAAAGAGTTATGTTAAGTAAAGCTAGAAAGACAGACTGGTGTGAGATTATGGAAAGCTGAGAAGCTTTTTTGTTTTGTTTTGTATTTATTCTAGAGACACTAGGGAGCCACTGGGGCTTATTGAGCAAGGGAGTGACATGGTGAGATATGTCTTGGGAAGATTATTTTGGCAGTGGTATGATGGAGAAACTGGAGACAGGTATGTTTGTTGAGATGTTGTTTCAACGTCTTATTACTTCTGTTATAGTAGCTGGAGAGCTGGCCTCAAAGTCATGAGAACCTTTGTTCAAATTCTCTCTCTAACAGTCTAGGCAAGTCATTTAAGCATTTAGTGTTCTAGGAAACACTAGTCTAAACCTGTACATTGCAGAGGAGGTGTGGTCCTGCAGCAGTAGAGGGAGCTTCATCATCTAGTAGCCCCCTATACCCAAGAAATCACCTATCTGGTCTCTCCCTAGCTTATAACCCATCCAGGTGAGGGATTATTATATGTATGAAGATATGAGCTATGGTGGTGAATCTATGAGTAGAGAGAAGGGGATGTATGGGAGAGATGCTGTGCAGGTAGAATTACCAAGACATAGCAACTAATTCGATATGAAGGGTAGGGGATATGGAAGCTTCAAAGATGGTGGTACCCAGAAATAAGGAAGTCTGAAAGAAATTAAGATTTCAGAAGGAAGGTGATTAGTTCTACTTTGGACATGCCAAATTTAAATTGCCTTTGGAACTGAGCAAAGTCAATATAAAGAAGATAAGCAGGGAAACTATCAACTGGGGGGACAAACTTTGCATCAAATATCTCTGATAGGGGACTGATATGCAAGATACATAGGGAGCTAACATAAATATACAGGATCAAGAGCCCTTCCTCCAATGGATAAGAGAGCATAGGATAAGAGCAAATAAATCTCAAAAGAACTACAAACTATTAACACCACATATAATACTGTTTCACATCACCAATAATAAGAGATACAAATCAAAACAACTCTCAGACTAGCAGCAAATTGACAAAGATGACAAAAGATGGAGATAGAGATGCCACTGGGGCGGAGGTAGAGATTTCTAACAGGCAGTAAAGATGTGACTAGAATTCAGGAGAGAGATTAATGTTTGAAAGATTTGGGTGTCATCTGCATAGAGATGATAATTGCACCCATAGGAACAGATGAGATCACCAGTGAATAGAGTGTAGGATAGAAGAGAAGTTAAGACAGATCCTGGGGGATGACCCACAATTTGGGGGTAGGATGGGAATTGGATGATAACCCAACAAAGGAGAACTAAGAAAGAGCAGTAAGACAGGTAGAAACATGGCTTTCTAGAAGTCCAGACAACTGAGAGTTGATAACACTATCTTTTTTTGCTGACCTGGAACAAATTATCATTTATCTTCTGAATGCAAGAGTAATTATTGATGAGATGGAAACTGCAGGACAACTTCATTCTCTTTATCCCACTTCCTTGAAGGCTTTTATCATGAGGGTACTAGCATGGTACAGTAAAGTCCTTCTCTAGGGGAAGGCCAGATCCTTTTTGTCTGGATGTCCAGGTTCTACCACCAGAAGATCCTAAGCAGCCCAGGGACTGGGAGTGACCTTCAGGGGGCATATCCTCCACATGCATCCCTGAAAGCAGGATAGCTGTTGAATCCTCCTGAACAGATGAAAAAGTGACCATTTGTCCAGTGGCTTCCGGCTGTTAGCTACCATTGGTGTGATCTTTGGGCCAGGGGTGTGATTCAACTCCAAACAGATCATGGAAGCATAGATTTAAAATTGGGAGGGACTTCAGGTCCTACATTTTACAGAAACTGAGGAAACTGAAGCCCAGAGAAGCAAAGGCCCAAGGTCACAAAGAATGTACTTGAGATCTTGAGAGAGGTTTTGTGGTTCCAGATTTTCTTCAGGAAGAGTTCTCTGAAGGGAGAAAGAGACTCTGGGAAGAAGTCAATATGTAGAAATCAGCATCTCAAACATGTCGCTATGCCCAGTTTACTACCCTAGAGATTTCAGGGAATTTCCCCTTGGAGTGAGATCTGGGACTCTCTCAGCTGAGTTGAAATATCTCATTCCTAGTGGGAAAGGGAGCTCATTTACTCTGTGTAATTGTCTGGTCTATTCTCATCAGTGTACTTTCTCTGATTTCTAGATACTATGAGCTTGGATAAGTGGGATCATTTACTCTTCATTACAGGTGGTCTTTGTGGAGCGGATATTTGGTGGGAAATGAGTCAAGCCTTTGATATATAACTTGGGCCACTCTTTCCCTGCTAAGGGAAAGCAATCAGGAGCACAGCTTGAACCTAAAAATTATTTTCCCTAGACTAACTATATTTAGAGGGGGACAGATATATATAATTCTGATCTGCTACTCTTTCTTTGAAGAGAGAATCAAGTCAGCCTCTGGTGCCAATCTCCTGCTCACTCTCCTGGCATGAATCAAAGTCTCCCTAGAGATATATCATATTCATGTCTCTGTGAAGAACATCTCAACAGATCCACGTGGATGCACATAACCTACCTACATGGTCAACATACATATACATACCCCTACAGGGTAGTAATTTTCCAGGTGAGAGGAGGAAGCAGCAGGGTCATACCACCCCTGATATTCTCCCTAATGACCTAAAACTATGGGAATTTATCTGCAGAAGTCACCTGACCCTGGGAATAAGTGTCTTTTTTTTTCTTTTTAAAAAAATAATCAGTCTAATATTTAGGGAAATTTGTCTTTTTCTCTAGCTCACTCCTTCCTGTTGCAATATTAGTCCCTTCTAGCTTCTTCTTCCCAGGGAAGATCAATCAGGCACTGTCTTGGACAGTAGGTGGAAAAAGAAATAGTTTCCAGCTCTCTATCCCTGATCTCACCACCCAGGTCTACCCCCATTCTTGTCAAGCTCTTTATACAGATTCCATTTTTCACCAGTCCTGCAGGTGTGAAGCTACAGAGCCCAGCCCCCTGGGCTCCTCTCCAAATGCAGGTGTGAACTATTAAGATCAGTTGTTATCTATCTCTCAGGTGGAACCCTGTGGTGAGCCAGGAGCTCTGGCTACATGCTATTAGCTGCGGAGAATAAGGAGATGTGAGGAGACAGCTCACTGTTCTCCTGTCTAGGCAGGGGGTTGTCAGTGACCTACATTCTCCCGCCTACCTGTCACTGCTGCAGCTGAGGCATTTGGACATTTCCTTAAGACTCCAGCAGGGATTAATTCAGCCTGGACTGATACACCTGAAGTGGGGGTGGGGTGGGAGGAAGAAATGGTGTTGGGGGAACCCATGAAGGAGGGCTGTTTGGTTTATGCTCAAATGAGCATCTTTGAGATTTTCAACAGCTTTGCTGTTTGGTCATTTTTTAGGGGTGTCTGACTCTTTGTGACTCCACTTGGTGTTTTCTTGGCAGAGATACTGGAGCGGTTTGTCATCTCCTTTTTTAGCTCATTTGACAGATGAGGAAACTGAGGCAAACAAAGTTAAGTGACTTGCCCAGAGTCACACAGCTAGTAAGTGTCAGATGTGAACTCCAAGCACAGTGCTCTATCCACTGTGCCACCTAGCTGTGCTACAACAACAGTCTACCTGAAACGAGGCTATGTGGAGTGTGGGCAGGTCAGAAAGGGAGTCCTACTCACAGTCTGTTGCAGCTGTTGTTGTTGTAGGTGTTATTATTATCTCCATTTTACAATTGAGGAAACTGAGGCAAACAGAAGTTAAGTGACCTGCTCAAGGTCACACTGGAGTGAGTGATCTCAGAATCTGGATTTGAACTCAGGTCTTCCAGATTCTAGGACCAGTGTTCTATCCACTGCCACCAGCTGATTTTATCACTGACTCCTTCCAATAGCCCAGTCCAGCCCAAAACAGATACCAAGCTAATCTGCAAAGATGCAAAAACTGAGTTGAAATCTGGCCTCTGATACTTATTAGCTCTAGTGTGACCCTGGGCAAGTCACTTAACTTCTGTTTGCCTCAGTTTCCTCAACTGTAAAACGGGAATAATAATAGCATCTACCTTCCAGGATTGTTGTGAGGATCAAACAAGATATGTGTAAAAGTACTTAGCATGGTACCTGGCACATAGTAGGCCCTATATAAATGCTTATTCCTCCTTCCCACCCCAACCATTGCAGGGTCCAATGGTGTCTCCCAGCAAACCAGGTTTCTGCCAGGTAGCTCTAGTTCTCACTGTTGCCATGGATCCTTGCCTCCTCCCTTCCTTCCTGGTCAATCCCCTCCCTCCCTGAGTTTGCCTTGTTGAACCAGAAAGCCCACTTCAGGCTGGTCATATATATGGACAATCTATAGTTAAGAGTTCTTAACCTGGGGGTCCATGAACTTTTTAATTTATTTTTTAATAGTTTGATAGCTGTTTCAAAATAATTTATTTCTTTTGTAATCTTACGTATTTTAATTTACACATTTAAAAACATTCTGAGAAGGGGTCCTTCCTGATCTGAGCTCCCCTGCCCTCCACTCCTCATGGCTCTCTGCCTAACAGCACCGAGCATACTCTATGCTCCCTCAATGAAGTTAACAAATATTTATTGATCGGTTGATTTTCCCTTGCCCTGTCCTCTGTCCCATCTTTGGGCCTGGGTGTGCCTCCACTCCAAATAGATCATGGGAGCATAGTGTTAGAGTTGGAAAAAACTTGAGAGGTCATTTTGTTGGACTCTCTCTTTTTACAGAGGAGGAAACTGAGGCATAGAGAGGAAAAGGTAATAACTCAAATATAATAAAAGGCAGGGACTGGAGCTGAACCCAGGTCCTCTGGCTCCAAATGAAGCATTCTTCCTTTGCCTCTTTGACCCTGTGGCAAATTTAGAAATATCCAAGAGTGTTGTAGAATAATAAAAGCCAAATAATCCAACCATTGAGATGGGGGGAGGGAGAGCTTGATTAGTACAGTTCCCTGATTTATGGCCTATGGCAGCTAGAGGCCAAAATGAGAGGCTGGCAGAGAAGACGGTGTGTGTGTGTGTGTGTGTGTGTGTGTGTGTGTGTGCTGGAACATAGCTAGCTCAGGGAAGGCGTCCTTCCCAACACAGTTATGATTGTACAGAACTGTGGAATTTTAGAATTGAAAGAGCTCTCACTAGATCATAGATTTAGAGCAAGAGGGGACCTTAGAGGGCATTTAATCCAAGTCCCTCATTTTATGGATGAGGCAGAGATACTAGGTGACTTGCCTGAGGCCATAGGAGATAATAAGTGACAGGGGCAGGATTTGAACCCAGATCACTCTAGAGACTATGTTCTTTCCACCATAACATACTGCCTTTCAGAAGTCTTCTAGTCTGACTAAGGAGATCAAGGAAGGCTTCACAAGGAAATGAGTCTTGAAGGATTCTGAGTAGAAGTGAGGAGAGAGCATTTCAGGTAATAGGGGTATCTGGTAGATATGCACGAAGGGAAGATCATAGAATTTTAAGTTCAGGGAATAATTGGATGCTTCATTTTGGCCAGGACACAGAGGCTGTGACTGGAAGGAAGGTGAAAGAAGGCTAGAAAGGTAGCTTGGAACCAAATCACATCGGGCTGAGGAGTCTGTATTTCACCATAATGGCGATAGGGAGCCACGAAAGGTTCTGCGGAGAGGCCTCTCCCCGCAGCTCCTTCTCTGTCTGCCTTTTCTTCCTGTTCTCCAAACACCAGACGTGGCAACAAGTCAGAAGTGGAGGGCAGCTTCTGATTAAAGGTATGAGTGTGACGAAAGATGCTGAGTAGTCTGGATAAGCCAAATCACGTCTCTCTGGGCATGAGGTCTAGGACAGAAACATTATCTGAGCTTACCACAGCCAATTCCTTTCAAAGGGGAAAGAACCCTCAGTGAACCACTAAGATGGGGCAGAATACAGGAATAGAGCTGCTGTTCTCCTCTGTCTTCACTAAAGAAAATTGCTGTTGAATCATCCAACATTCTCAGGCTGTCTGTGACCTGTGAACTGTGACTCCTACTGCATGAATCAAAACTCCCATTATAGGGTTAGGTAATGTTGAGGTAAAGTGACTGGTTGTCCCTGAATAGGCAAGACAGTCCTGGATTTTGCTTGCCTGCTCTCCCTGGCAAGTCACATTCCAAAAAAATAGCCTGTATTAACACAATTTATGCTCATTGGACTCCGTTTTTCTTTTCCCTTCTGACTTTCCCAAATTTTCTCTCTCTTCCCCCTCCCATCCCTAATAGGGTCCTGCAAGTATGGTACCCATCTGACCCCAGATCAGAGCTGCATTGCAGCTGGAAAGGAAGGGTCTTACTCAAAGTCTCTGCAGAAACCAAGGCCCAGAAGGTGGTATACCTTCAGGTCCCAGTCCTAGCCTCCTTTCTTTCTCTGGTCCTCAGCTCTCCCCATATCCCAATGCATGGGATTTGCTTTGAAAAACTGAACAAAATAAAAAAAGATTTGTTTTCATGCCTGGTGCTAAAATTAAATCACTTCATGACAGTGGCATCCTCCAGCCCCCTCCCCTCACCAGCTCAGGGGTCAGAGGACTTGGTTTCAAACTCAACCTCTGGCTGCATAGTGGCACATGCCTGTAATCTCTGCTCCTGGGGAGGCTGAGGTGGATAGATCCCTTGAGTTAAAAGAATTCTGAGCCAAAGCTGGGCTCAAGCTGATCAAATCTATGCAATGAATTCAGCACTAATATGGTGAGTACCCCTACCCCTACCCAAGGTGGGCTGCCCCGCCATCTAAGGAGGGGCCAACCAGTCCAGGTTGGAAAAATGGAGCAGGTAAAAGTTTCTATGCCAATCAGTATTGGGATTGGTCCACAAATGGCGGTTGCACTTCCAACAATGGCAAGTTAGGGAGACACAATCTTAAAAAAAATATGTACAACCCCTTCCTCTGATGCTTACTGCCCCTATCACTTTGGGCAGGTCACTTAAACTCCCTGGGTCTCAATTTCCTCAGAAGAAAAATGAGGAGAATTAGAATAGATGGCCTCTGAGGACCCTTCCTGCTCCAGATGGCGGCTTCTATCATCCTATAGTCTCATCTTACCTGCTGAGACCTTATAATGCTGTGGAAGCCTGACCACTGCTCTCGCTCACCTTCATCAGGTCCCGGTGGTGTTCTAGCACACTGCAGGTTGTCTGCCACGTGTCCTGATAGCACTCCCAGGGGTCCACCCTGCAAGAAATCAGAAGGAGACTTTCTTTCATTTCCACCCCCAAAGCTTCTCAGCATTTTCCTGGTATCTACTTATAGTCCTTAAAGCCAGCATTTCCATAATGACTGTATTATATATATTCTATGTTATTATATATTCTATATTAGCAACTGACTTAGAGAGAGGAATGGTGAGATAGATAGCCGATAGAAGGGGGAAGGAGAGAGATGGGGAGAGAGAAGGGAAGGGGAGAGAGAGAGAGAGAGAGAGAGAGAGAGAGTGAGAGAGAGAAGGGGAAGAGATAAAAAGAGAGAAGGAAAGATAGAGACAGAGTAGGGGAGAGAAAGGGAGGGGGAGAGAGGGGAAAAGGAAGACTGAGGGAGGAGAGACAGAGACAGAGAAACAGAAGAGAGAGGAAGAGATAGACAGTAGGGGAGAAAAAGAAGGATGGGAAAAGAGGAGGGAGAGAGAGAGAGAGAGAGAGAGAGAGAGAGAAGAGAGAGAGAGAGAGAGAGAGAGAGGGAGAGAGTAACAAGAGGGCTTGTAAGAAGGGAAAATATATTAGGATGAAATTCCTAGGAGTTTCATCATTCATATGAAAGCAGATTAGCCAGGCTGGGTTTGTTTTGTTTTATTTTGCTTTGGCTTTGGGTTCTGTTGTTGTTGTTTTTCCAGTGGGCTCCCTCATTGCAATTCTCACCAAAGGAAGTTGTCCCTAGAGGAAAGCACCTGACATCTGTCTTTCTGTACCTTTCTAAGGACGTTGGCTTCTTGCCCTAGGCATGAGCCTTTAGGCTACAGCTTTTCGGCCCTCTCCCCATAGACACTGATGAGTCTGGGACCCAGAGGGAGCTGAGGCCTTCAGAAGGACCGCAGAGCTCCCCAGCATTTCCCCTTGCTCTGCTTGCCAGGTTGTGAAGTGAGAGGGATCATCCAGGTGACCTGGCCTGACAAGGCACTCTGACTTAATTGCAAACCTAATGAGCTGCTAAATTGGGATGTTTCTCAAACCTTTCCTTAGTGGCTGAGGATTTTACCCCTCCCCACCTGAGGTTTGCAGAGATGCAATCTCGCTAATTAAAAACGCTTAGAGAGGTTGCACATACCAAAGGTCCCCCTTCACACATACCCAAGGGGGCACACACACACACACACACACACACACACACACACACACACACACACACACACACCTGCCAGCTCTTCTAGGCATATGCACAGAGATGTGGACATGTGCAGACATCAAAGCCACAGCAAGGCAGACTCCCCCACTGAGCCGCCTCCCGACAGATTCCCTACTGGAGCCGGAGACTGGACTCCATTTCCCTGGCAAGTTGGGGCTGGACATCTGTCTCTATGGCTCTGATCCACCCTATTGATCTCAGTGCCTCCAAATCTATCAGAAGCAGGCAACTATTTCACAAGCCTGAGTCTAGTTCTTTTTGTTTGTTTTTTTCCCCCTACTAAACTACAAACCATTAATGTGCCTTTTCCCCATTGGGTGGGGCTCCTGGGCAGAGTACTAGGAGTTAGTACGGCGGATTTCTCTCTGTGGCTCACTCATGGATGTTTTTCTTGACAGACATTGATTGAGTCAAGGCTTCTCTGAGGCTGCATCCTCATCTGCATCCTGTCTGTCTGACCTGGATCTTAGGAGCTTAAATAAGAAAGTCTGAAAGCACCTGAGTTTTTCAGATGAAAAGGGTTCTTATGGGAGGAGAAGTAAGGGAGTAAGGAAGGCCTGCACTCAAATTCTACTCCAGAAAAAGACTAGCTGTGTGACCCTGGGCCAGTCAGTTAACCTCTCTGTGGTCCCAGGCAATTCATTAAGACTCCAAGTTACAGGAGTTGCCAGTCTCTGTCAGTGGAAGGGTTTTCCACCCTGGAATCTGGTTCTCCATACTGACAAAATCACAGGTCTAAACCCCAAGAAGTAAAATAAAAAGACAAGGTATTGATCTATATTAGTGAAAAAAGTTCTTCCCACGGAGTACTGATGAAATAACAGGTCAGCTCCAGAGATAGAAAAGACAGACAGACAGACAGATACATATGTAAATACCAAAACATACATACATACATACCCACCAATACATATCACATATGTATGCAGATATCTATATATAATGTATGTATGTATATGCGTACATATACATAAATACATATACACACACCTATGTGATCATTATTTTTTGTCTTTTTCTTTTCTCTTCCCCAGTCTCATCCCAATGGACTCCCTCTTCTTACTTTCTTCTCATTGAGTTCAATTTCCCTTCACTCTCCCTTTCTTTCCGAGAAACTTATAGGTACAACTTATTTTTACTTTCATTGGGAGCAGAACTGTGAAATAAATAGCCTACCATTGTGAGAAGGCCTGTCTTCTCATGCAAATTATAACTATGGAAACTTTTTTTGGTGCACAATTAGCATAATTAGTGGAAGCTTTCTGTAATTATATACTGCCAGCTTAACAGATAATAGTGTCTCTCCTCTTAGCCAGAGATCTATGCATTGTGATTGTCTGATGAAGGAGAAGGGGGTAAGGTCAATTTCTCCCCAAACCTTGTGCCTCCAGTCCGGAAAGGCCAGTTCTCAACCCCTGGGGGTCCATAACCAATTCTTCAGAAAAATACCACACCACAATCCCCAACGATGAATGGGAGCCAACCCTGGCCCAGAGAGACCTCCCTGAAGATCACCTGGTATCCCTGATCCAGAGCCCTAGGGTGGCCTTGACAATTCTATAAAGAAGTCAGCTTAGGGTCTTGGAGTCACAATTTGCAGGGAATACCTGACAACCTTAAATAATTTTCAGGGACCCAGACCATGGGGAAATGACAGGTTATATGGGTACTGAGGAGACAGCCAATGTTTGGAATCAATGGATTTGATTACTTTTCTCCTTTGAGGTCCCTGAACAGCCTAAATGGAAGAATTCAGTGTCTATCTCTGTCTTGTCTTCTCTCTCTTTCTCCCTCTCTGACTTCTTTTGCTACCTGCCACATTCCATCCCTGCTGAAGGACATCAGTCAGACCCACCCTACCTGATCCAATCAGAAGACTGGACAGCCAGCTGGCACATGATCAGACGATGTCGGCTAGACACCAGGCCCTGGGAAAGGAACAAAGCAATCATTAAAAAGCTGCCCTATTAATCAATCAACCAAATGCTTCACTTAGCCACAGTGCTAAATGCTACGAATACAAAGAAGAGGTTAAAAAAAAAAGTCCCTGTTCTCAAGGGGCTTACATTCTGATGGGGAAGAAGCATGTACTTAAGTTGGTACCTGCAAGATACATAGAGAATAGGAAGGTAACCTGAGAGGGGAAGGCATTAGCATCTACCAGAGACTTGGAAAAGGCATCCTGCAGAGAGGGGCATCTGAGCTGAGTCTTGAAGGAAGCCAGGTATTCAAGGTAAGGAAAGAGCATTCTGGGCATAGGGGACATGTCCTACCCTTGTGCTATTTCCTCCAGAGCTCTCCTACTCGCCTTTCCCAAAATATAAGGCCTCACAGATTATTATATTTGCTCCCAAATCATGTCAATCAAGAGGACAATCTTCCTGGACTAAGGATTTTGTTGAACTTCCACTATCAGCAACATCCATTCATTTGTACACCCTCATCGAGCCTAGAATAGGAGTGAAATTAGAAAAAAGCAAAGAAAATCCAGAAGATTACCTATCCCTTGGACAAAAGCCCCAGAATTCCACCCCTTTAGTCAATATTTATTCAGCAAATATACTCTGTACCCAACACAAAGATGATGTCCTACCAACAAACACTGCTTTGTCCCCCAGTTCAATCTGGGCCATTGTCTGCCTCTGCATCAGACCGATCAGATGGTGACAATGGAATTGGAAGGGAGAAGGGAACCAGAGAGGAGGAGCATCACGAGAGCTCAAAGGACTCTCAGTTTTACTCCTTAAAAAAAAACACCCTGAAATTTTTCTTGGGACATACAGCAGGGAAGAACAGAAATATGCCTCCTAAAGTGGGTTTTAGGAAAGCAGGGGCCCAACCCCCAGAGCTTTCACATCTGCAGAGAGGAAGCTAACCCTTATACTGCTGGCTCTCCCCCAAAACTGTTGTGTTTGCCTCAGGTTTGGAAGCCACCCCAACTTCTGCTCACCAGGTGCACTGGGCCCTCATCTAATTAGGACTGACTCAGTTTGGCACCGTGAAGCCGACACCTCATCTCCAAGAGGGGTTGGCATCTGCTTTCTCCCAGCTGGCCCCATTACCCTTTCAATCAGGTTCTACTGCAGTTCAGAGATGAGGACTGTTTTTACTCTTCACAAAACCTTAATTATTGTGCCAGCTTTTTCTGTTAGAGGCAGAGCAAGAGAAACAGGCCAAAGGAGATAGAACTCACCTGTTTTCCATAGGAGTCATGGACAGGAGAAACAATTCCACCAATCACAATAAACCTTCCAGTCTTGTGCAAATAATCCCTGGCTCTTTCTAAAGAAGAGAAAAGGTGATTGCAATGGAAAGAAATACTTTTGGCTCCTAGAGTCCAAGAATCATTATATTTTCCTCTTTTAAAACATAATATTCCAATATGTTGAATACAATTTTTACGATTTCAGCACTTATCACAGTGCCTGGCACATAGAAGGTGCTTAATAAATGTTTATTGATTATTATTAGTTATTGATGATTCAAAAAGGTTAGAGATCAGGGTTTCTAGTCCCCCAAGCAAAGGAATTTGGAACCAACAGTGATTAAAGGTATCTTTAAGGTATTCTATTAGGGGAATGCGCAGCTAAGTGGCACAGCAGATAGAGCACCAGACCTGGAGTCAAGAAGACCTGAGTTCAAATCTGGTCTCAGACACTTACTAGCTGTGTGATCCTGGGTAAGTCACTTAAGCCTATTTGCCTCAGTTTTCTCATCTGTAAAATAAACTGGAGAAGGAAATGGAAAACCACTCCAGTATCTCTGCCAAGAAAATCCCAAATGGGGTCATGATGATTTGGATATGACTGAACAACAAAATTATGGGAACATGTTGCAGCTCAGAGGAAATTTAATAGAGGTATCTATTTAAAAATTGTTAGTCTGTGCTATTGAAAGTTATCTTGTTATTGCTTAAAATCTTGTTTAACAGAGTGACCAAAAAACCCCATCTTAAGCATGAAAGAGACATTGATTGCTCAACATGGAATTACATAGATGAGAAAACTCACCAAAAACAAATTTTAAAGGGCTTTCTATGTAATTCTATGTAACTGTGTAATAGTTAATAGTCAAAAAGGAAAACCACTATTTTTGCAGTTTGGTAAATAAAATTAAAAAGAATCTTGCAATATCCCAAAGGAAATCTAGTTTACTCTTCCACTTTCCCTTCAACTCCATACCAATTCATCATCTATCTGCAATGCCTATCCATATACTGGTAGATGGAGTCTATTGTTATCCAAGGTCTGACACTCTATCCACAGCTCTACCTAGGTGAATTATTAAATTCAGAATTTTAAAAAATAAAATAAAAAACAAAAAGGAAATAAAGGACACTTCTCAGGTTCACTTCAGGCTCCAAATGGTAAAAGTTGAAGTACTTCCTAGAAATATGACAAACTTAGATGAAATATTTTGTCCCAGAGCTCTGACAGCCAATGAGGGCATACTTCCTCCTTGAATATTATGCTTCCATGTTTTCTATCTGTCAACCATCTTCCCTTTGTGTCCAAAGGCATGAGACAGATCCCCAAAGCCACAATCCCCTTTTCCCCACCAGCTTGAGGGGTTGGGACGTCTAGAGGGTGGGCTGCTCCTGCCCAGTGCTGATGCTTCCAAAATGCCAGTCCTATTGTCTCCTTTCTGTCAATAGAGAGAATTCCCCCAAATGAATTTGCTCCAGGCACAGTTTTGACTGGTTTAGGGCTCTGGTCCTTCCCAAGCCTTTTATGACAAGGACCCTTTGTGACATGGGGAAACTTCACAGACCTCAAAGAATAATAGAAATTCAGAAACGGATCTAATAGATCATCAAATCCACCTTGCACCTGAACAGGAATCTCTTCCACAATCTCCTCACAGAGTGGCTATTCAGTCTTTTCTCCATAACCTTTAGTGATGGGGAACTCACTCCCTCTAGAGGTCTACAAATACTTCAGAATTATATCAAAGCATATCCAGAAAGTTTCCCCTTTCCTTGCAACAGATCTATTTCTTCCCCAAGGAGAAAAGCTAAAAGAGGAAGATAGTAAATTTCCAATTTCCTAAAAGAGGAAGATGCAGATTCTATTTCTTGACCTCTATGAACAAAACATGGTTTCCCAAGGACAAGGTCCAGTGTGCCAGAATCACAGAATACATGGAAAAGAATAAGATGAGAATTGGCTGAAAAGTTAGGCAAACTCCAAAAAATACATACAAATAAACACTACACATATGTTAACATAAAGTAGAGGTCTTAATATGGCTTTGGTCTTTAAGGAGATAGTAAGGCAGAGTGAAAGTGACACAGAGTAGTAGTAAAAATTTTAGAAAAAATGCTGGAAGAGGTATAACAAATACCAAAAAAGATCCTGACAGACTAGAAAATTGGGCTGAATCAAATAATACCAAATATTGTTGTTGTTTTGTTATGTCCAATTTCTTGTGACCCCAAGGACTATGGAGTTTTCTTGGCAAAGATACTGGAGTGGTTTGCTGTTTCCTTCTCTAGCAGATTAAGGCAAATAGGGTTAAATGACTTTCCCAAGGTCACACAGCTGAGTGTTTGAAGATGGATATGAATTCAGGTCTTCCTGACTTCAGACCTAGTGCTCTATCCAGAACCATCTAGCTGCCTCAAACATGAAATATAATGGGGATAAACATAGAAATCAGTTTCATAAGTGAAAGAAGGGAGAGGAATAGCTAGATAGCAGTTGATCTGAAAAAAGATTTGGAAGTTTCACTGGACTCAATGAGTCAATAGTGTGACAGGGCAGTGGGAAAAACTAATTTAATCTTGGGATGTATCAAAAGATGGAGGTGATAGCCTTACTGTATTCTGCCCTAGTCAGACCACATCTGGAGTATTGTGTTCAGGGCCATGTACCATATGTTCCAAAGGGCATTGAGAGGCTGGAAGCATCCAGAAATGAGAAACCAGGATGGTGAAAGCCCTTGGGCTGATACCACATGAGAATCAGTTGAAGGAAGTGGTTATGTCTAGACTAGAGAAGAGAAGATATAAGTAGGGCATCAAAGCTATATGCAAGGATTTGAAGGCATATCACATGACAGAAATTCCATTTGGCCCCAGAAAGCAGAACTAAAAACAGTAGGTAGAAGATGCAAAGGGGCAAATTTAACCTTTTGTTTTTCAGGAGTTTATCCCTAAGTGGATGGACTGCCTTGGGAGGTAGTGTGCTATCCCTTACTGGGGATCTTTAGGCAGTGGATGAACTTGTGGTCTATGATGTAGAACAGACTCTTCTATAGCATGAAGACCAGACGACCACTAAAGTCTCTTCTGATTCTGAAATTCTGTGATTCTGGGTATCAGAATCAGCCTGGCTGAACAAATTGTGACATGTTAATGCAATAGAATATTGTTGCTCTGGAAGAAAAGATAAATAGGAGGAATTCAGAGAAACAGAGGAAGACTCATATGCAGAACAAAATAACCAGAATTATATATAATTAACAATATTATATTATAATATTTATATATAACATATTATGTATATATTGTATATTATTAACAATATCATATAATAATAACATTAACAATAATAATGTAAATGAAAACAGCACTAAACTGTAGCCAACTCAGATCAAATGGAATGACCTTTCTCGGTCTGGAAGAATAGATGATGAAATGCATTTTTCTTTGTTCTTTCTGAGAGATTTCAGATTACAAGTGTGGAATGTTGTATATGATGGCAGGCAATTGTTTTGTTGGATAGCTTAGTTTAATTATTTTTCTTTGCTGCCAGGGAAGGTTCAGTGGTGACAAGAGGGGTGTGGGGGGGGGGTCAGGGATGGAGGTGGGGGAATCCCAGAGAAATGACTTAGAAAGCATGAATAACTTTTTAAATAGCACAATGCTTGACCAAAAGTAGAAAAGGCTGTGTCTTTTATTGTTTATTTGCTTCATTTCCTCTTAAAAGAAATTCTGAATGCACAAAACATAAAGATAGGGGAGAAATTACTTTTTTATATATATTATACAAAGTGGGGTCAATGGTTTGTTTGCCAGCTAAGAAGGATCTTGGAATTATTCCTCCCTACTGTCACAACTGACTGAGTTCCTGTTTTTTGTTTTGTGATCTTTGTTTGGGAGTAGCCCCTGCAGGGTGTGGGGTATCCCTAAAGTAGGGGCTTCCCAGGACATTTCCATAAGTCTTTTTGAAAGTTATGGAATGGCAGAGGTTGCCTCTGGTTCTGCATGGGAGTGGGGAGTAGCATTGATTAAAATTAAACAGAATGCTGGCTTCCAAGTCTGTGTCTTCTTCATGCTTGTCAATTCTAGAGTGGGGAAGAAGCCAACTTCATTCTTTTTTTTAATGTTCAAGTCTGAGTCACTTCCTGGGTGGTCGAACTACTTTATTCTTCTCGTCTAAATGAAGAGGACCCCAAGGCCTTCAGCTGAGCTGCACTGATTTGCCCAAGCTCTTCTCCAGGCAGAAATTCAAACTCACAGTTTAGGAAGGACTGTGGATCCAAGGAAATGTAGCTTCCTGTCAAACTGTGCTAGGATATGATCAGTACAGCCTGCCTAAGGATGAGAGAACACCAAGGGGCTGTCCATTTATAAAAATGAGTAAGACAGACATGTCCTGTCTGCCTCCTGGCAACACGGTGAGCTTGGCTGCCACTTGGAATCAACTCTTTCCTTCTAGAGAGTTATTGGAGGCAGCACTGTAGCTGACACATAAGAACTAACTCAATTTTTTCTTTTCAGTGGGAATTAAGAATGACCCCTTCCGAGTCCATTCACTGCTGGAGTTCAATTCTCTCTTTGATTTTCATTATTTGTGGAAAATGGTCAGGTTTAGATCTGCAAACATTCTAAGTTACAGGGAAATTAAGCCCCAGAAAATTAAAGGAAACAGCACAGTAGCCAAAGAGACTAAATGAGTCTGGGCAAGGTTAGCTCAGCCAATGGGGGTTAGAGTGGAGAAATCCCTATGGTTTTCTTGCCAGGCTGAGCACTCATTTATTCATTCACTCGTTTTACAACAAATTTTATTGTAGCTACCATGTCCAAAGTTCTCTGCTAGACATTATGGGGAATAATGATAATAGGGAGAGGAACAAAATCCATGATTTCTATGATACGTAGGGAATTCTGGAATGAGGAAACTCCTTCTATCAATGCCAATTGGTACCTTCTCCAAGACTCAAATGCTTTAAGAGTTGACTGAAGTACTGAGAAGTGACCTACCCAGAGTCACAAGGCCTCACATAAGATGTCTCAAAGGGAGGATTTGAACCCTGACTCTGAAGGCAGCTCAGGATCC